CCACCAGGCCTCCATGTAGCCCACCGACAAGGGCAAAAGCTTAGAATCATCATTTAAGGAAATAAGATGGCTGTATATGATGGAGTATCATATAGCTATTAAACTCCTGTTTTCCAAAAACAAATAACAACACGGAGAAATTCTCATTGATGGTAAGCGAAAATGCAGGTTACAAGATGATATCACCATCTGAGATGAATTTTGGAAAACCAGAAACAACTTAAGTTTGCAGATGCGTTTAATAACATGTTTCTAACCCCCGCTCGTTAGCAGGTTAACTGGCAGCGGTGGACTCCACACTGGGTGTTGTTAGGGTTGTTGTTTTTGCTTTTCTTTATTTTTCAAACTTTCTACAATAAGCAGGTATTGCTAATACTATCACACAAAAGCCAGAACAAATTTTACTTTCCAGGAAAGGCCGGGGCCTGGGGCCCAGGGAGTGGGGAGCGGGTCTGGGTCTGCAGCCAGCCTGGAGTCGGCACGGGGACCTCAGCTTCCCTGGACTCTCCAAGGGGAGACCCGCGGGTTTGGGCTCCTCGCAGTGACGCTTTCATCAATGACTGACCCATGTGCTGGCGTCGGGCCAGCGTCCCCCACGCAGCTGGTTCTGGTTCCCTGGGCCTCCTGGACGCGCCTTGGGGCAGCGCCACATCTGGAAAGTGTTCTAGCGCCAAATGCAGGAAATGCATCTGGCCTGCACAGCGTGTCTGAGCTAGGCAAGTCTCTCTCCTCTCCTTCCGCGGGGGAGGGGCGGAGGGGGAGAAGGGGGAGAGAGGGCTCTGCTGGGCTCTCCTCTGCAGCCTGCACCCAGACATCTGCCTGGACAACGCAGCCTCACCTGGGCTCCCTGCTGGGTCAGAAAGGGGGCAGCCACCTGCGAGGGGTGAGTGGGGGTGCTGGAGACCCCCACAGAGTGGAACCTGAGACACAGGATGCTCCAAATCCCTCAGCTGTGCACAATGAGGTCCGGCCCAGAACTCTGCATGGCTTCCGCCCTCCCTTCCCACACCCCCCCATCTTCCTCCACCAGCACCTCCAAACCCCAAGTGCCCCTAAAACCAAATCAAGCGGGTTACAAAGCAATGCAGAGAGACCATCATGAGAATGACAATGAGGCCACCTCCCTCCACCCTAGGGTTGGCGCTAGTGGGGAGGATGGCAGGGGCTTTTCATTTCCTTGTGGTATATTTGTTTTTCTGGCATTTTCCGCATTGTCTACATTGTACGTGCTACTTTTGTAGTCAAAAAGTTAGTGTTTGAAAATGGGAGGGGCCACATCCATAAACACAGATCACAAAGAAGACCCCTTAGTTGGCTGATTTCCACCTGGCTTCCTCCCCAGTGGAGCCCGCCTGCCATGGGCCCTCGCTGGACGCAGGCACACACACAAGGCAGGGTCTGGGAAAGCCCGAAGGCTCCTGTTGATTTGATTTCATTTTTCTGGCTTGTTCAAACCCCGCAGTCCAGAGCAGGGAAGGCGTGGGCGCAGGACCCCTGGTCTCCTCAGCCCCCGCGCAAGTGTTCAGAGTCTGCACGAGGCTGTGGCCCATCCTTGGGGCCTCCTGCTCATCCCCAGGACGTCTCGGCCTGGCCCGGACCGTGCAGCTCCTTGGGCCAGGGAGTCTGAGGCCAAGGCCCGGAGGGGCAGGAGAAGGGTCAGGGTGGTGTTGGGTCCACACAGGGTATGGTTTGCCTGGGACCTTTCTGGTTTTAGCACTGAAAGTCCTGCGTCCTTGGCTCAGGGAGCTGTCTAGACATGATAGGTGGGCCCTCAGGGGGAGGAGCCGGATTCCTGAGCTGAGACCAGGGTTTGGGGAGGGTGTTGGGCCCTAGAGAGGAGGGTCAGGCCCAGAGTGAGCAGCCACTGGACAGGGATGGACAGCAGGGGGAAAACGGGGACGGTTTTAGTCTGGAGGAGGAGGGCTTCAAGGTGGAAGAACCGCCAGGAGGTGCTGAGGAGGGATCTGGCAAAGCCGTCAGCGGAAGAGGGGCCTGGAGGTGACAGGCTCCAGGGCTGCAGTCCCCGCACGTGGACTGACCCTCTCCTCCTCCTGTGCTCATAGCAGACAACGGCATCCTGGAAGTAGAGGCTCCAAGGGGCCACTGCCCACTGACTCACTGGGAGAAATCCATTTGGTTTCTCTAAAACAAGCTCGCCCACCCGACAGATGAGCCGGGGGAGGCCCAGAGGGCCTGAGGGAAGCCTGAGGACACCCAGCTTGCTGGTGGCAGAGCCAACCTTGAACCCAAATTTTGAGTCCCAATTCAGGGCTTTCCCGCTTACCATCTCTGCCGTCCACGTTGTTCCGGAGGCCCTGAGACGGAGGGAAGGCGGGTGTGGCGGGGTGAGCACTGTCCACCCCCCAACCCCCCGTATTCGTGTCCACTTGGAACCTCAGAATGTGGCCTTATTTGGAAACACGGTCTTTGCAGATGTAATTAAGGTAATCCAGATGAGGTCATCCTGGCTTAGGGCAGGACCGAAATCCAACGAGAGGGCCTTATAGAGACAGACAAGGACACACAGACAAGGCCACGTGAGGCCGAGATTGGAGTGATGCAGCCACTGAAGCTGGAAGAGGCAAAGGATTCTCCCCTAGAGCTGCCAGGGGGAGCGTGGCCCCACGGACACCTTGACCTTAGACTTCTGGCCTCCAGAACTGTGCGAGATTCAATTTCTACTGTTTTAAGCCGCCCAGTTTGTGGTGATTTGTTGTGGCGTGCCCAGGACACTCCTACACGCCGGCAAGGAGCTGGTGGGACCTGCTTCCAGACCAGACCCCCTCGGCCCCGCTCCCCAAGCTCTTGGGGGTACACAGAGAAAAGCTCAGACAGCAGTCTCTTGAATTCCAGTCTACGTGGGGCCAAGTTCTCTTGGAATACGTGAAACTGCTATGAAATTGTCAAATACCGACCAGTTCACAGCATTCAGTCCCACAGATTTATATTTTAAGAAGAAAAACTTATTTCCAAGGATGCACTCATAGAAGCGGCTCCCAGAGCCTCCCTGTGGAAACCCTCAAAGCCGCCTTCAGCAAACCCAGTAAGACATGCCCTTCGCTTTCCAATCACCCTCGTAAACGAGTGGGGCTAAGTCCTGAAACCTTTCATCCCCCTCAGAGAGATCAGACGGTTCCCCAGCGACCACACTGACGCTACTTCACTCCCCTCAGAGGAGAAGTGCACTTCTGGGCTCAGAAAAGAGAAAAATCCGGCTCCGGAGCCTCCCAGGTTTGCATTTGCAACATTTATTTCAGGAAATACATTGTCAACACTTAGTTATTTATACAAAAGGAGACGAATTTTTCAGGAGGCACAGAGCGAAAGGCCACTGTGGAACGATCCCAGTGAGACTAAGAATTTTTCAAAATCTGGCTACAGAGAAGGAAAGCAAAGCCACCCGGGCGGGCTGCGGAGCCCCCAGCGGCACGAGGCTGGCGGGGCACCCCACTGGGGAAGGCGGCCCCATGTCCCGGGCCCCCACGCTGGAGATGGGCACGTCCTTCAAATTTCTAGTTTTGGCAAAAACATGGCAAGTCGGCAAGAAACTGTTACGCTAAGGGGTCCTTCCTCTCCTAGGTGGGGAGGAGGTAGACACGCAATGTGGGGACATCCATGCACGCACACATACCAGCACACCCCAGGTCTGTCTGCACCCCGCTCCTCCCACTGCTCTTCTCATCGGCTGCAGGAAGCAAGCCCGGGGTCTGCAGAAGGATGTGCACCTCACCTGGGTCTAACCTCCTCGGCCTGAGCCAGACACCTCTCTCTCTCCAGGAGGCAGTTAGCAGCAGCAGCAGTCTGCTGTGCCTGGCACGGATGGTCCCTGCTGGTCCCCTCGTGCAGAGAGGGTGAGGGAGCAGGAGACCAGCCAGGCATGCTGACAGGGAAACCCCCCTCTGCAGCCGGCTGCGGGCCATGCACACCTGACTCCTGACCTCTCCCTCTCTGGGGGTCTTTACCTTGGGCTCTGGGGTGCAGGAGCCCAGGCACACACAGGGCAACAGTCAGTCAGGCTTGCCTGGCATCCTACTTCCCCAGGTCACAGCATCAGCAAGGCCTGGACCAGGAAGGCTGAGTGTATAGCCGGGATGGCCGACTGGGCCTTAATTTAACCAGAGCATCTTGGGTCAAATGGATGTCTAAACAGATGTCTGGACAGACAGACACAAACACACACACTTGTCCAGTCACACAGGGCGGGGCGGGGCAGGGTAGGCACCAAGGCCACTCGGGCCACTCTGAACATCCCCACCACGATCCACACGGCCCCCTCTTCCTTCTGGCACCTGCCACGGCTTCCTCTCTCAGCTCCTCCACCAGATTCACTTGCTTGCACCTTTCCAAAAATCAGAGGGGGCGGGTGGGGTGCATCTTTGTCCTTCCTTTGAATCCGTAATCAAATCCCAGTGAGGGGGGAGGGGGCAAGGGGGAGATGAAGACACACCCTCTCTCCAACTTGTCCCGTTCCCTGAGGGGACAGCTGGGGAGAGTCTGCTGGCTCGCGTGGACGGCTGAGATAAAGGCACTTTCTGCTCCAGGACGGGCTCGCAGGCGGGTGGGCGGGCGGCAGGCAACAGGCCTCACCGTGTCTAAGCAATTGGCAACTTGCGTCTCGTGGAATTAACTATTCTCCCCTTGGGAGTAGGGTAAGGGCAGGGGGCTCTCTGAGTTACGTGGTCTGAATTACCGCCTATGCCACGTGGGGAGGCAGGGGCAGGAAGGGGCTCCAGGTCCACCAGGATGGCTCCATCCTCCCACAGGCACAACCCTGCCATGCTCCAGGGGCTGTGGCCGAGGGGGACCAAGTGCAGGGGGCTGCTCCTCTGGGCCCCCGGGAGCTGGGCCTGGGGTCGGGGGTCGGCGCTGATTCAGCGGGTCCTCTCCCACCCTCCTAGCCAGTCCAGCTCCCCCAGACCTGAGGACGGCCAGAGAGCCGGCCTCCACTCCGAGGCCCCACCGCCCGGGTCCCCACTGTCAGCGGTTAATGACGATCATAGTCAGGAGGGAACTCGTTATCTTGTTACTCGGCAGCATGGAAAGGGGCGGAGAACCACGACACATGGAGAAAACCATATAAAATAAAAGGGGGCAGTGGGCAGGCCAGGGGGACGGGAAAGACTCGGGGGCAGGGTCCTGGGGTGGGGCGGTGTCTACATCTCCTCCGCTTCCGGCTCCTTCTCCTCAACGCCATTGGACACGGCGCTGCTGCTCTCATGCAGGCGCTTCACCCGGTAGGCCTCGAAGTGGATGCTGCTGGTGATGTCCTTGATGTTCTGCATGTGCGTCCTGGGAGGGACACCAGGAGGTCGGGAGGCCGGCCGCGGGAGTGGGCGCCGACGCTGCTCGGTGCGGCGGGGGCTCCCATCGCCTGTCCTCCCCACTCCTAAGCCCCTCGGCATGGCTCCCCGTGGGGACTCCAGCGGGGCACTGCAGGCCCACCAACTGGACCTGGCCTGGGCATGAGGTGGGGGGGCAGTCTTCATGGCAACCCCAGACCCTCTCAGGACACAGTAACATGTCCCCTTTCTGTGTCAACCCTGTGGCCAACCCAGGGACAGGGGCTGGTGCAGACTCAAAGCAGGTAGAGCCAGAGGCCCCGGCAGTGGACGGGGTTGGAGGGTCCTGCTCCAGTCTAGAGGGGCCAGGCTGGCAGCCAGGGGTGTTGGCGGGTAAGGACACCGGGTGACCATGGCCCCGGGGCTGTGGCCTGCAGCGGGCAGGTGGCCTGGTGTGGAGGGCCGGTCGACCCTGCTGGTCCTGTGTTCAAGCCTTCCCTCCTCTGCGGCTCAACAGGCAAGCTTTGGAAGGGGGTCAGAAAGGCCTGTGATGGGGTGTCTTCCTCAGCCAGGCTATCCAACAGGGTGGGAGTGCTCCCGGAAGCTGTACCCCCCAACCTGAAGGCCCCAACAGATGGCCCTGTCCCTCCTCTTGACCTCATCCTGGCCTCCATCTGCCCGCTGGTTGAGACGCTGGGAGCCCCTGGTACCCCAGCGGGAGGCCCCCACCCTCTCCATTCACCTGCCCAGGCCCAGACCCACCCACCTGGCACCCTCTCTAATGGGTTGAGGATAGGCCACTCCTTGCCTGGGCTCAAGGAAACCAAGGAGAAGCCTCAGCCAGGTCAAAGGGGTAGGGGGTCAGAGGACGCTGGGGGGAGCTGGGGACCACCCGCCACGCTCAGCACACAGAACTCCAGGGGCCCCAAATCTAATGGGCTCAGGCCACGGTGGTGAGAACCCGGCCCTCCCCAAGCAGAAGTAGAAGGATTTTCATTTCTAAGAAGGTGTTCTAGAGAACAGACTTCTGAGTCCTCCCGGGGCAGGGGCAGGCAGACGGGCAGGGCGTGCCAGCCGCTCCCAGGACCTCCGCCCACTCCCCCACCACCCACACCTGATTTAGGGCCCTCTTGGGGGCCCAAGCTGTCACTCCCCAAGCACCAGCGTCTCTCACCTGATGAGGAGGTCCCGCAGGTACGCGAACTCACAGTGTGTGGTGTTCTCAACTGAGGAAGAGACAGAAGGGCTTCAATGTCACACGAAGCCACTCCCCCACCCCCCAGTAATGGTGGGCCAGTGGGCAGGGAAAGCGGGGGAGCCACTGCTCCACTGGTGAGCACTGCGCACCTTGCAGGCACCCGGCACAGAGGGTAACATGGTAACAGGACCCAGCTCCTGCTCTCCGGAAGGTTCCGGTCTATCCGGGAGACAGACAGTAACCCAGCCAAGACAGCATCAGGGGAGAGAGCTACAGTAAGAAGCCGGGGTCAGTGGGCCTGCTGCTCCACCGGGGGACCAGGGAGGCCTCCCGGGAAGAGGGAACGTCCCAGGAGAGACAGACAGAGGGGCTGGGAGCAGAATGAGGCGGGAATTGGGGCTGGGATTGTAAAGAGGACCTGCGCCCCACTGGGCGCTCTCCCACTCAGACCTGCTCACCACCCACGTCCTCAGGGCACACACGGGCACACGTGTACACGCAGAGACCACATACCATGGGTTAACGTTTATACCAAGCTCAAGAACCAGCAAAACAGCCCTACACCGCCGAGGGACAGCCGCACGTTACACAACAACACACGAGAGCCCAAAGGAACAAGGTAGCACAAGAGACTTCTGAGCACGCAGGGGCCGGGGCAGGAGGGCACCCTCAAGCACACCAGAGACAGCTCGGGCTGAAGTTGGTGGCAGTCTCGGTGCGCACTTTATTGCTATGCCTCCTAACTGACGTATGAACACGTGCTGCCTTGTGAGTGTCACCATCACAGGACAGCAGACCTTCACCAGGGTGGTGGGTCCATCGCCTGGACTGAGGGAGGCGGAAGGGAAGGCGAGAGAGCAGGCATCGGGCACTACCCTGTGCCAGGCACTCTTGCTGCACGACTGCACTCAGCCTTCACACCCCCACAAGGTATCGACTACGATTCCTCTTTTGTGTTCTTAGGGAAATGGGGCTCAGGACACAAGAAGTTGTTGGTCCACGCTCCACCGCTGGTCAGGCCAGAGCGGGGCTCCGGTCCCACATGTCTGGCCCCACAGCCCGGGCTTCCCCACCCCAGAGCACCGCGGCCTTCTCCAAAGGCGAAGGGTCTGGTTCTCACTCCATGAGCCGGCAGGCAGGGCCGGGGGTGTAAGAAGCCAAGCGCTCTTGATTTTTATTTCGGTCGCCTCTCGCCGGGGCTCTGCCCTCCTTCCACGTCCCCCCACCGCAGGGCTGTGCCCACACTATAACATTCTGCCTCCTGACTCTCACGCAGTCTTTTTATCCACCACAGAGAGCAGTGAGGGCTGGTGGGAAGAACTGAGCTCTCAAGTTGGAGGGCAAGTGCGTGACTGCTGCTTCCTGGCTTGGGCACGTGATTCTCTCTGACCCTCTGTTTCGTCATCCGTAAAATGCGGGTAACATCGCCACCCACCTCTCAGGGACATGAGAGGATTAAGGAGTTAATTGTGCACTTTATTACACACCGCCTTCCTCTTGAAAACACTTCAGGCACCTTCCAGGGACGAGTAAAACACCTCAGGATGGTGGCGAACACCAAGTGGAGGAAAGAACAAAGAACAGAACAAGGGGGGGTGGGGGCACATGAGGCAAAAGTGCTGAATAACCACGCTTGCCAAGGGCGAGCACAGAGCGGCCAGCTCTCAACTCACAGGGAGCTGTGGGGAAGTGCAACTGTTCTCAGCCCGGGTGGGATACGGGAGCTGCCACCTCACCACTATCCTTACAGGTTCCACGGCACTGTTACCCGTAACGACCCTCAGCGTGAGCTGGTGGTGCCACAACAACGCACAGGTAATTGAATGCGCAGGATCAGGGCCCTGACAAGGGAGCAGATACAGAAAACCCGGCTCCCTCATTTCCCAACAATTTCCATTACCGGCTGCCTGCACTGCCTAGAGTTGGCCACCAGGGGGGAGCAGAGGTGTGCCCATCACCAGGGTTGCCCTCCCCGCTGCAGCCAGGTCCCCTTGGCCCTTTCTTAGCCCAAACTTTTCCACCCTCCAAAACATGCCTTTCATGAAAAGGTTTCTAAACAGCAAGATTTCAGGAAGAGAGGAAATGGAAGAGGAGAGGCTGAGATGAGATGAGCCCAGGGTAAAGCCTGATTGAGACCATCCAGGTGGGACAGAGGCGAGTGGCCCCCAGAGACACCTCTGGGATCAACACTCCTGGCCAAGGGCAGAGCTGCGGAAAGGCGGTTCCAGCCTGCACGGCAGACACTGGAAAACACCAGACAGAGGCTGGTTTAGAAAAACACCCATCCTGCCAGCACCCACACAAGGACTCCAAGAAAGGTGGCATGCCTCCCCACCCCTCCTCCAGGTTGGAGCCCAGTGCAGGCAGACCCCTGGGTTCTGGAGCCGCTGTCCGCTCTGGGACCCTGGGCAGAGGGTCTCTACACTCCTTTCTGTAAGGAGGGGGCAAACACAGCTACAGGGAGCCCCAAGGATGTAATGACAATCCACGTAGAATGAGCCTCTGGGGACGGCTCAAGGCCTGCACTTTTCATCAGGATCATTTCTTGGAGCCACTGCTCACCCCAAACTCCAGTGGTCTTCAGCACATTCTCTCATTCCACTAACCTCCTGGCAGAGAGTCTCCACCTCACAGATGGTGAACACTGAGGCTCTGCGGGCTAAGGGACTTGCCCAAGTTCAGAGTGGGGGATGGGATGGGGGCTGCAGCTGCTGAGACTTTCTGCTTCCTTCTCTGTGCTGGGCCTTGAACGAGGGACAAATGGCCCATGTCCCTGTCCTCTTCCCTTCCCCGTTCCAGAGGGAGGAAGGAACAGAGAGGAAGAGTAAAGAAAAGCCCAGGTCCATCCACCTGGGGTGTTCCCACCGGAAGTGGGTTGAATCATGTCCGCCAAAACCACATCTAGCTCCCAACTCTCAGTACTTGTGGAGGGGACTTTATCTGGAAAAAGAGTCTTTGAAGACATTAATTAAGGATCTCAAGAGGGGATCATCCTGGATTTAGGGTAGACCCTAAAGCCAATGACAAATGTCCTTATAAGAAGAGGGGAAGACACAGACATACAGAGAAGGCCATGTGAAGATGAGCAGAGCAAGCAGAGGGACGCCGAGGATCACCTGGAGCCACCAGGAGAGGGGCCTGGCGCAGATTCTCCCCAGAGCCTCCAGAAGGAGCCGACCCTGCCGACACCTTGATTCTGGCCTCCAGAACCGGGAGAGAATCAATTTCTGTTGTTTTAGGCCGTCGAGCCTGTACCAACAGACGCAAAGCCTGGAGCAGCCGGCGCCGCTGCTGGGGGCCCTCAGACGAGCCCCTCCGCCCCACAGGCCACGGGGCACTAAGATGTGGGGGTCCTGGGAACTTCTGCAGGGGAGGAGCTGTCTGGTTCTCAGGGCTGGACAGACCTACAGCCCAGCCCTTTCCTAGGCCCAGAGAGGCGAGGCGATTTGTCCAAGGTGACACAGCGTGCCTGTGGAGCACCAGCACCAGAACCCAGAACGTGGCAGTTCCCATCCCAGCCCCTCCCTGGTATTTCCCCGCCCGTGGGAGATGGGGGTGGAGGCACAGCTCCACGAGCTAACGGCTGTGGGCCCTGGACAAGCCACTCGCCCCCCTTCACTTCCCCAGTGGGACCCATCCTGGTGGCTGGGTGGGGCAAGGCGACAGATGAGGTTCCAAGCGCCTGGCTCAGGCTGTGGTGCATGGTCTCAGCCAGCAGAGGCAGCTTTATTTTTCTGGTTTGTCTGAAAGCCCCAGGCGCCGGCGTGACAATTACCTTCGATGGTGCCCCACTTGGTTTTCCTTCCAAGGATCCTCTTCCCATTCACTTGGTACTCATGGTCGCTGCCCACCACAGCAAACGGGATCATCTCCTGGGGGGAGGACAGGGGGTGTTGGTCACATGTGCGGAGGTCAGTCCAACCCCTGGGCCCCTGAAAGGAGCTGCCCTGAGCCCGGGGCCCCCAGAACCCAGACCCTTGGCCTGGGAGGGCCACGTGTGGACTCTCAGGGTCCGTCCCCACCCAGCCCAAACGATATGTTCTCATGGCTTAAGGCCATGCCACCCGTTTCCCCCAGCACCCCTGGAGGGGGCAGGAAGACCCCCCACCCATGCCCTCCAGCAACAAATAAGGGGCTCCCAGGAAAAGCATCCTGGCTGACCACTCACTCGGAACTTCTCGTTCACCAGCCGGTCCTCCGGGTCCTCGTCAAACTCCTTCTGGGGGTACACGTCGATGCCATTGGACAGCAGGTCCGCGGTGATCTGGGAATCCGGAGTGGGGGCATGTGGGCACCGTCCATGCAGCAAGCCCGACTGGCCCCCCAGCATCTGCCCACTGCATGACCTCCACAACATGAGTGGCCCAGGCTCGGGGTCAAGGGCGGGCCCTGGGGGCTGGTGACCTCGATGCTCTCCAATTCTTGTGCCTCCTGAGTGGAGGGCAGGCAGCCACACACCTGCCTGCTGTGAGACCTGCAGCTGCCCGAGCGGGTCACTGCCCCCCGCGTCTCCCTGTCTTCCTCTCCAGGAAAATAACGCAGGGTGGCCGAGCCCTCCCCTCCCCGAGCTCTACCTGGAAACCCTCCCACTGCAGCCCCGAACGCCTGCACAGTGCACCTGCTTGCGTTAAACTGTCACCACCCTTTGCAGGAACACCTGCCAACAGGGACAACGTTCAACTGATTACGTCCTGTGAACAGCCATCATTTCTGCCCCGAGCACAGACCCAAGCCCCTGTGTGGCCTCAGTGGCTTCCTCGTTCCTTCTCCCTCCGGCAGACACATTGATAGCCAGGTGGACCATCCTCCCCTAAGCATGCTGGGAAAATCCCTGGCACCTGGCTTGGGGCAGAGATGTGCGTGGGGATTAGATTCGAGGGCCATGCTCACGCCCACTGAGGCAGAGGCTCTCCTGGGCCCAGGCACCTTGGTTTTTCAAGTTCCCCGGATGGTTCTAACACGCGGCCCTGTTAGAAGGCAGCAGCCCAGGGCTCACCCATCTGCTCAGACACCCCTCCCCAGGCAGCCCTCAGCGGGACCGCGGCAGGGAAGGAAGAAGTGGCCCCTGGTGGAGACCATCCCTTTCGGACCTTCTCTTCCATCTAATAAAAACCAGGCATGTTGTGTCTGACGGCCCCTCACGGGCCTCGCTCCCACCCAGGAGTGGGGAGCCAGGGGGCCAGGCGACGGGGAGAGCCCTACCCGCTGTTTGAAGTAGACCCGCTCCTCCAGGGTCAGTGTGTCGGCCTTGGCGATGACCGGAACAATGTTGACCACTTTGCTTAGGCGCTTCATGAACTCAATGTCCAGGGGCCTCAGGCTGGAACAGAACAATATGGGTGAGACATGGCTCCATGAATGAGGTGTGGCCGGGGGCCCGATGGAGCTGAGGAAGGGGCCCTACAGGTGCCTGCGGGGGTCTCCCAGAGGGGTATGGGCCAACACGGCCAAGGCTGTGGGTTGAGCCAAGCCATGAGTGAGGACAGGGAAAAGGAAAAGGGCATCCCTGGACACCAGCTCCACGGAGTGGGCAGAGGGCGCTGGGGGCCAGGCCACCTCCAAGCACCCTCGTGTCCCAAAGACCCCCAATGTGTCCACTCAGAGAAGGGCTGCTGTCTGCCGGCTCTGCCACGGGCCCAGATGGCCACTGCGCTGTGGGGCTTCGATTGGGAGGGAAGAGGATGGAGAACGGGGGGCAGGTGCCCAGCAGCTCTGCAGGGTGTCCCCAGCCCTCCGCCCACTGGCTCCAGCGTGCCCGCTGTCTGCCATGGGAAACGGCTTACCCTCCACACCACCCCAACTCGAAACCTGTTCTCAGCAGGACAGCGCCACAGGGCCCCTGCGTGGTGGGCCCCACCTTCCCAGCCTGGCGCAGAGCTGTATCTGCTCCTCCCTCAATACCAAGAGTAAGTCGCAGACACGGCATGGGATTTTGAACTAGGATGGTGAAGAGCCACCCCTATCTCGCTGGACTGGGGACCTGGGGGTGGGAATGGGGCATGGCGCCCAGCTGGGTCACAGCAGACGCGCCGGTGCCTGCCCACACTCAGCTCGCCCTGCCAGTGCCGTGGTGGGACCTCTGCCTCCCGCCATCAGCCTCTGTGGAGGTGAAGCCTGGAGCAGCCAGACCGACTGCCCTGGGACCCTCAGAAGAGCCCCTCTGCCCCACAGGAAGGGGAGATGTTTGGTCACAGGTACGGCCTCGCAGCGCTGGTCCCCTCACAGGCAGACCCCTGCTCCAGTGCCTGCCCAGCGAGCCCAGCCTCCCTGCCCCTGAACAGACCCTCGCTGAGGGTGGGCTCGGCGACTCAGGCTTGGTTTTCCCACAAAAACCCCAAGTTGAGGCCTGCTGCCTCCAACTGGGCCCCATCCTGTAACTGGTGCCTGTGGGGTGGGGGACCCCAAGCTGCTGGGCTCCCTGCCCCAGAGCCCGCTTTACAGACCAGAACCGGCAGAGAGAGGGTCAGGGAAGTGCTCAGGATGCACAGCTGGGCAATCTCAATCACCCTGCCAGAGCCTGGCCGGAATGACCGGCCTGGCCTGAAACACAGGCAGCCAGGCTCTGGGACCTCCCAGGGCCCACCTGGTCCTCAGCTCTCCAACACAAGCCGAAGGGAGGAGAGGCGGGCGGGACGGTGTGCAGTGTACAGGGCAGAGCGAGATGGGGGAAGAGAGAGCCGGGGGGCAGAGAGAGACGGGGGGCAGAGAGAAACGGGGGGCAGAGCGGGCCAGGGCAGAGCGAGCTGGCGACAGAGTGAGTCGGGGGGCAGAGAGAGACGGAAAGCAGAGCGGGCCAGAGGCAGAGTGAGAAGGAGCACAGAGTGGGCCAGAGGCAGAGAGAGACGGGGGGGCAGAAGGGGCCAGAGGCAGAGAGAGACGGGGAGCAGAGTGGGCCAGAGGCAGAGAGAGACGGGGGGCAGAGAGAGATGGGGGGCAGAGCGGGCC